ATAACGCCTCCTTTGCCGCCTCGCTAGCTGCAATATACTCTAATTCACAAGTAGAATCTGCCACTGTCTCTTGCTTGGAACTCTTCTAAGAAATTGCTCCTCCATTTAGGGTAAAGACCCAGCCCGACTGAGAGCGGAAGTTATCCCTATCAGTCTGGAAGCTAGCATCACTATACCCTACAACTCTCAAGTCATCACTCCCACCGAGGGTAAGGACCCAGTCCTTAGTCCTTCGTAGGTACTTGAGAATATTCTTTACCGCAGTCCAGTGTGCCTTGCCAGGGTTCCCCTGAAACCTGCTAACCATGCTCAGGGTAAAAGCTACATCAGGTCGAGTACACGTCATAGCATACATGATCGATCCTACAGCCGAAGCATAAGGTACTCGACTCATTTGTGCTATCTCAGCCTCAGTGCTAGGGCTTTGTGTCTTACTCAGTTTGGTGTTACTCTGGATGGGCAACTCTCCTTTCTTGGAGTCTTGAATTCTGAATCTCTTCAGCATCTTATCCAAGTAGGTACTTTGACTAAGTCCAATTAGTCTTTTACTCCGATCTCTCAAGATCCTTATCCCTAAAATATAGGCAGCTTCACCAAGGTCCTTCATAGCGAAACACTTTCCAAGCCAGGACTTTACTTCCTGCAGGGTTGGAATGTCGTTACCTATGAGTAGTATGTCATCCACATACAATACCAAAAAGCTAACTATACTCCCACTAGCCTTGACATACACACAAGATTCATCTTCACTCCTAGAAAAGCCAAATTCCTTGACCTTTTCATCAAAGCAAAGATTCCATCTGCGAGGTGCTTGCTTTAACCCATAAATGGATTTCTCAAGCTTACACACTCTATTAGGGTACTCGTTGCTGACAAAACCCTCTGGCTGACTCATGTAAACATCTTCAGCCAACTTTCCATTAAGGAAAGCGGTTTTGACATCCATTTGCCAAATTTCATAGTCATGAAATGCGGCTATGGCTAACAGAACCCGAATAGACTTAATCTTGGCTACCGGAGAAAAGGTCTCATCATAATCCACTCCAGGAATTTGAGAGAAGCCCTTTGCAACCAGTCTAGCCTTATAAGTGTGTACTTTACCATCCATGTCGGTCTTCTTCTTGAAGACCCATTTTCACCCTACAGTCTTTCGACCTGGTACATTCTCAACCAAGTTCCAAACTTGATTGTCATACATGGATTGTATCTCGCTATCCATAGCCTCTTTCCATTTAGCAGACTCGGGGCCTGCCATGGCTTCCTCGTAGCTGTTAGGGTCATCTTGACTTACTAGTGTTCCATCACTAATAAGTGTCTCACCTTCTGCAGTAATATGGAATCCATAGTAATGCTCAGGTGCACTCCTAACTCTCGTGGAACGCCTCAGAGGTACAGATTCGTCAATTGGCTCAACAGGAGTTTCCTCCTCAAGTTGAGGGCTAGAGTTTGAAGTTCCTTCACCACTTGACTCTTGAATTTCTTCAAGATCAATTTGCCTCCCACTGTCTCCTTGGCTTATAAACTCTCTTTCTCGAAAGACTCCTCTTCTTGCTACAAAGACCACATTGTCACTAGGTCTGTAGAAGAGGTAACCAAAGGATTGCTGTGGGTAGCCGATGAAAATACACCTCTCGCTTCGGGGTTCGAGCTTATCATGAGTCTCGCGTCTCACGAAAGCCTCGCAACCCCAAATCTTGATGTGGTCTAGTTTAGGTACTTTACCAGTCCACATCTCGTGAGGAGTTTTGGCAACTTTCTTTGTAGGGACTAGATTAAGGATATGGGCGGCAGTCTCTAAGGCATACCCCCAGAATGAGATTGGTAGCGAAGCTCGACTCATCATGGAACGAACCATGTCCAACAAGGTTCGATTACGCCTCTCAGCCACACCATTCAACTGTGGTGTCCTGGGAGGTGTCAATTGTGAGACAATCCCACATTCCCTTAGATAGTCGAGGAACTCTGAACTAAGATACTCACCACCTCGATCGGATCGAAGCATCTTAATGTTCCTGCCCAATTGATTCTCGACTTCCTGTTTAAATTCCTTAAACTTCTCGAAAGTCTCTGACTTATGCTTGATTAAGTAGACATATCCATATCTACTGTAATCATCAGTAAAAGTCAAATAATAACGATTAGCATCCCTTGTGGCATGTTTGAATGGTCCACACACATCCGTGTGTATAAGGTCCAACAAACCTTCACCTCTTTCACACGAGCCTGTGAAGGGTGACTTTGTCATTTTTCCAAGTAAGCATGATTCGCAACTATCATCTGACTTTAGGTCAAACGACTCCAAGACTCCATCCTTTTGGAGTTGGCCTATGCGTTTCTTGCTTATATGTCCAAGACGACAATGCCATAATGATGCTTTATCCAAGTTATTATTATTAGTAGAATCAATACACAAAACATTATTTCCTAAGTTATCTACAACAGACACAGCTTCATACACACCATCACAAGGTAATGCTTTAAAATAAAGAACATTATTAAAGAAAGCATCAATAGAACCAACTTCATTATTAAACGAAAAGGTAAACCCTTGTTTGTACAAAGCATGAAAGGAAATAATATTTCTTGCCATTCCTGGCGAGTAACAACACTTATTCAAATCTAAACTAAACCCACTACTTAGCGATAAAGTATAAACTCCAATCTTGGTGACAGGTGAAGCTTTCCTGTTCCCCATGATCAAGTTTATTCTTCCTTGCTCCACATCCTCACTTCTTCTTAGTCCCTGCAAGTCACAACAAATATGAATACCACAACCGGTATCAAGGACCCAAGATTTCGAATGGGGTGAGTTATTAGAAATGATAGTGTAAATACCTGCATGGTTGGGTTTGACTTTCCCATCCTTCACATCCTGCTGGTACTTTGGGCAGTTCCGCTTCCAATGAGCTTTTTCATGGCAATAGAAGCATTCAGCCTCTTTGGGTCAGAAGAAGGAGTAATGAAACCTTTCTTGGTTCCACTTGAAGAAGAGCCATCAAGGGTCCGAGCCTTGGTACCCTTCGAAGATCTCTTTCTCTTCCTCCCTCGACTTTTCCCGATTGCCAAAACCGGAGTTGAGTTTGGAGTAGGAGTGATAGCAACCGACTTCCCCTTAAGACCTGTTTCTGCAGTCTTGAAAAGTCCCTGAAGTTTGTTGAGAGTGACCTCTTCCTTATTCATGTGATATGTCATGCGGAATTGATCATAGCACGATGGTAAGGAGCGCAAAATTATATCTATTGCAAGCTCCTCAGGGAAGTTCACATTAAGCTTCAGCAATCGATCCACATATCTTTGCATTTTCTGCATGTGGCTCGTGATGGAATCCCCGTCCTTCATCATGGTTGTTATCATGGAGCAGATGATTTCGTACCTCTCTTGTCGTGCACTTTGATGGTATCTTTCCATCAAATCTTGGTGCATTTCATAAGGGTAGAAATCCTCATAAGACTTTTGGAGTTCAGCTGTCATTGTGGCCATCATGATGCAAGCTACTTTCGTAGCATCCCTTTCATGTGCCTGAAAGTCAGCGATCTCCTGAGGAGTTGCAGTGGTCTCATCAATCTCCTTAAGCTCCTTGTCAAGGACATATTCTTTGTCCTCGTAGCGGGTAATCATCCTGATGTTTCTGATCCATTCATTGAAGTTGGATCCATCAAAGGTGACTTTCCCACACAAACTCATAAGAGTAAAGGAGCCATTAGGATTCGAGCCAGAAGCATTATTTGAAGACATCTGAAAGAGGAGAACAAGTTTAGTATAGATTTAAGAGAGTCCTTAATAAAACACCCAAATGTAATATTAAGGCTAGGATCCAATCACAATATAATATAACTTAGAAGAGGTATGCCGTAATCTAAGCTATACCATATTTGAAAGGTAGGTGAATGACGATTCACCAATTTCCACCACGAAAACCGAAATATTAGATATTAGGTTTTATTGGTTTTTTAGAAATTCCTAGATTCTTTGAGATTCAATGAACTTTTCAAAGGCATGTTTCAATCTCGAGAGTGCCCTCCAAGTTTTGTGACTGGGATACCGAGGATCACAAAACGAGGTGTGAAGTAACCATGCAAATCACTTGGTACCCTTAAAGTTTATCACTCAATCGATGTGCCGGTAAACCACACACGCTCCACCGCACTACTAGAAAAATAGCCTTTTACGACGCTCATTGCGCGTCGTAAAAGGCTCAAACGACGCGAAAATGCGCGTCAAGGAAGGCCATGTCATAACGAGAGACAACGCGCTTTTGCGTGTCGTCTATAGACGACGCTCATTTACGACGCGCAATTACGACGCGCGTTTACGACACGCAATGCGTATCAAGGAAGGCCCTGTCATAAAGGAAGACGACACGTATTCGCGTGTTGTAACCTTACGACGCGCGTGTTAATGACACGCAATGCGTATCAAGAAAGCCACTGTCAAGAAAGGCCATGTCATAAATGAAGATGACACAAATTTTTACGTATCATAATTTTAAATGTTTAAAAAAAATTATTTATAGATTTACTACTTTTCAAATTAAATTTGTATTTAATGTCTCATAATAGAAAATAAATATCATTACAAAAAATACAATCCATTGCATAAAATTTAATTCATACAAATAAAATACCATAAATAACAAAGATAATTCATTTCACTAATATGTCTATTCCAATAGTGAGTAAATGTTATAAAAAAAATGAACTCCAGAGAAGCAAAATTTATATAGAATTGCATTATCTAGCTTACTATCTGCCAACAAATCTCCGTGTGTTTTCTTTTTTCTTGAGTGTCGTTTCCTCCAAAACTTCTAGATACAGTGGCTTGCTTCTTCCTCGTTACTGTACAATACCTATGGCCACGACTTTGCAGGCTTGACTAAGGAACTTTGTATGCCAACTGTTGTCATGCATTAATATTTAATAACTAATACTATGCATATAAACATTAAAAAACTAATTAATTAAAACTCTCTATTTATTCACAGGTATGAATTACATTACCAGATGATTACATTTGGAAAGGGCATTTATGTCTTTTCCTCCATAGTCAAAGTTTTAATTATAATTTTTAACTACAGTGCAAGGCTAGGGTTACGAGCACCAGAGGGGAGTGTAGCAAGTATAACAGAAAACAAAACTGGTCAAAAACTAATTGGAATGTCAGATCAACCTAATGAACAACTACAAAAACTATCTGAAGTCCAAAACTGCAACCCAGATATTAATCAATCTAATGAAATACTACAAAAGCTATCTGAAGTCCAAAATTGTAACCCTGTTGTTGAAGAATCATCAACACCAGGGACAATAATTGAAGTAGCATCAACATCAGGGCCAATAGTGGAGGTGTCATTATCACCAGAGCCTATAATTGAGGTTCCCACAACACTAGAGCCAGAACAGATACAACAAGAGCTTGATATGGAGGATTTTTGTGAAGAAGATGGTGAAGAAATTCCTATGATTAAACTAAACATGGAAGAGTTTACTCAGAATTTGCAGACTTACATGGAAAGACACATGGAACTTGGAGAAGGTGACCTGTCAAAAGTACTAGTTGCCTTAACATCAGAAGCTGTGCAATCCCTGTACCTAAACTTAAAATTGTCATGCAACTAAGAACAGAACACCAAGTGTAAGTAATTGTGAAAATATGATGTGATTTGTGATTTCTAATTTCTAATTTATTTTTTTATTTCAATTTTTGCAGATATGAGCTCCCGGATTCACATCCTCTTTTGGAAGGGGTAAGTGTAGTAGTGTAGTGTAGTATACCTTATGAAGAACCTGATATGCTCTTTGATTTGATTTATATTTCTTAACAAATGTGTGATAAATTAAAGATGGAACAGGAGAGCCTGATGATCCTTGCTCATACCTTCTTGCAATTTGGACACCTGGTGAGTGGATGAAATGAAAATGAGAGAATTAAATAAATGTTTTTGTGAAAGTGAAATGCTGATTGAATTATTTGTTTGTTTATATTATACCAATAGGTGAAACTGCAAATTCGATTCAACCGCCAGCTGGACAATGTTCTTCCCAAGAATCTGGCACGTTATTTAATGAAGAAACATGTTTTTTTGCAACAGCACACGAGAAGCAAATAACCAAACTGTTAGAGGGATACTCTTGGTGAGTTTGTAGATATAAAAAAAGTAATCAAAGAAAGATGCAATAATTTGTATTTAACCTAAAACCAAACAACTAAATTTACAATTATAAGATAGATAAAGAGAGTAGCCTTAAGTCCATAACCACAGAACACTTAGAAAGAACAATAACTAAAGGCCTTAAGGAAATGTATGTGCTTTCTTCATCTGTGTTTGAAATAATTGCACAATACACAAAATGGAAATTGTTCAAATCAAAATGTAAATTCAAATACGTTGTCCTATTCATATCTCTCAATTTTGAAAATACAAATCATGTACAGATACCATGTAGAGCTGCAATGAGAGGGAGCTTTCCACTCAACGGGACATATTTTCAAGTCAATGAGGTATGACTTTGCTTAACATGAACTCTTCTTGATAATCAAGTATTTTTCTTTTTTCTTTTAGTTCTTTCTTTACTAATGTTATTGTGATGTTTGAAACAAACAAGTAGCTTTGGTGAATAGACAATGTCTGTTGTTGATGGCCAGAGTGGTTTGATTCATAGCTTTGGATTTCATAGAGACAACAGTTAATTTGTATTAACCCAAAGATAAATTGTGATATTGTACTGTTTTAGCTTTGTTCTAGAGATGTTAAGAGTTTTTACTATGAATCCTTAGCTGTTTGTTCTAGAGCTATACTGATATGAGATTGGTTAACTTGTGAAACACAAATTTCAAAATTGAAGACTAAAGAATCAGATGGTGACTATTAGTGCATAAAAAAACTGAAAGAGTTGCATAAAATTGACATACAGGGACAACATTACAAAACTCTCAATTTAAAAAAAATAAATAATAAAAACCATTCTTCCACGTCAGCATTTCACAGGTTTTTGGTCAAAATTACCCAACACAAGTCAAATTTGAAAAGTAAATGGTCTTATTGATGATTTTCCAAGTCCAATAAGCAAAATACAAAAATGATTAAAAGCAGATTGCTATTTATGAGAGTTTATCAAGTTGTACCTTAAAGTTATTGGCTGTCGAAAAGCTTCAAACAAAGTATAAACACCCATTTTCAAAGACCAAAACCATTTTAATGGCAGAGATCCTTCTTTTTCAGGCATCTGATCTTTAATTGACTCAAAATATTTTTTCTTGCTGCTTTTATGGCTCCTCTTTCTCACCAAAGTACCAGGTTTAGGTGCCTCATTTGATGATCTTTCTTTCTCTGGTCCACTTCCACTATATATTTCAGAGGCATTAAAGCTAGGAAACTCGGTAAAATTTAAACTACTAATTGGGCTTTCTGTCACAAAACCACATGAAAGTAGTTGTATAGTTGGTGGAAATGAGAAAAGTAAAAATATGTTGCCCATTTGGAGGTTAGTTAGTGCATATCCTCCAAACAGAGCAGGGGACGGAATTGACACAGAGCAGAAGGCTGATTCCTCAAATACATCTTCTAAAGTGATTATACCAATGACTTCACCTTCTTTTAAAGTGATTATTGCCATTACAGATGATGCATGTGTAAATCTTTCAATCGTGCTCATAAATAAAGCTCCTTATTTGACTTTTTTTCTGTAATATAGAATAATACAAGTGTTATTATGATGGCCATAACAAAATGAAAGGAAATAATAGAAGATACCTCACCTTTTAGTAGATTTGTGATATCAATTGTTTGATTATCACTGAAAAATGGAGTGATTGAATATCTTGCTAAACACCCCTGATATTCCTGTAGTAATTCACTACTAGTTCTGCAAACCAAACCAAAAGAAGAATAATTTTTACAATAGACTCATCCATCCTTTTGATTAAAAGAGATGTGAAGTAGAAATTCACCTTTCCAAAAAACACTTATTACATATACTATAATAAAAACCACCAAAAATGATTACAATTTTAAATTTCACGCGTATTGAACCTCTATTATCAAATAACATTTCAGTAGCAGCAGTTACAGCTGCAAGGAAGACCTGAGCTTCCTTGTGGCTTCTCTATTTTCTCCCCTAATCCTTGACTTCTCTAACCTCAGAAAGATATTGGCTCACCAATGTAGTTCCTTATAAGTTATTAACTCTAACGAATCCTTGGTTCAATCATTTCATCGAACAGTTGGACTGCATAGTAAAACACCCTTTCAAATCTCAATATAAAATGGGCAGGACAAAGTAATGTAAAAACAAACCAAAAACATAATCGACACATAAACCCTTGGAAAGAAAATAAACACTTGGTGGGAAAAAATCTGAACAACCACTGCCATTGGCCCATGAATAAACTCTAATCTCAAGCTGTGTGCACTTCGAGCGAGGTACAGAGGAGGTCTTCAAACACCAAAAGAAGTGTGACGAAAGAGTCATGGTAATGGAAGAGAAAAATAGGAGGAGAAATAGGAGAAACTTTAGGAAACAAAATTGGCTGTATAAAAAATGTACAGATGGAGAATAGGATATGTGAAAGCTATCGACGTATTGACGCACCTTGTTTTTTTTCCAGAAGTTGACTCTTTCAAGAAACATGAACCATCAGAACAACCGACAACAAGGACCTATGATAAATTAAACTCAATAGATAAAATAGATCGATATCATTCATATTATGTTGAGAAGAAAAACCGACCAAGATCAAGTAATGACAAGAAGAAATATTGATTACGGCACAGAAGAAATATTCGATGAAGCAAATAATTCTTACCATTTGTTTGGGACAAAGAAAAGCTCGTCTCTACTCTTTGAAACCTTCATCATACGTTTGTCACCCTAAATCTTCCTGTTCATCTTTCTCCTTCCCTCTCACTTTCTGGTAATGGTGGGTTCAATAAAAATAGAAATTTCTGTGAGAACAGATATAAATTTTAAACACATATTAAAAATGGGGATTAGGTTTTGAGAGTGAAAGAAGGGGGGGTCATGCTGGTAAACGACAAAGAGGCAGACCAACCAACGTCTATTGTAGTCGACTCCATCTCCATCTTCTCTGGTCGTCACCTGGTGTTGATTAGTGGAAGAAAGTAGCCCCAATCGATTAGAAGATGTGGAGGTTAGACTGGATGAGGGTTTTCCACAAGGGGATGGAGATAATTGTGAATGGGCGGTGGATTATCTTAAGAGGTTTGACATCGAATGGCAGAAGGTGTAAGGATTAATCCAGTTGGATGACGCGGTGAATGAAAGAAAGCGGTGAGGTTAGTCTAGTAATTTGGAAGATAGATGGTGATGGGGAAGAACGGCCGTCTTTCATTGGAGGTCGACGGCGGTGGGAGACACTCAGAAGGGTCGAAGAAGCAGCATATGGCGGAAGGTGAATGGAGGTTTGAGAATCGAGAGAGAAGAAAGAAAGAACGGGGGTTTTCGGCGGGATGAGCTAGGGTTTTCAGCCGGTGGAAACAAATCGGGCTTTTTAATTTTTGGATTTCATTTCCCCTTCGGATGAAACGCGTGTTTCATTAAAATTTATAAAGCGACATGGTTAGACGACACACATTTTATTTAAGGTGCCCTCCGTCTTTTATTTTTATTTTTTATTAGACACTAATTTTAGGGCGCGCAAAAATGCGTGCCCTCTATGCTTCATATTTTGCAAAACTGACATCGATTTTTGGGGCACGCTCAAATATGTGTCCTCTATCAACGTGTGTCATTGATTGCGCGTCGTAAAAGGCTATTTTTCTAGTAGTGCCGATACTATAATAAACCTTAAGTCACCCTTTACCTACCTTGTTAAGTCCAAGTTAGTGTGCCGGTTAACCACACACGCTCCACCAACGACTTAGGCAAAGTGTAAAGTGTAATTTCATGGATTAGCACCTTATTCACATTTTCCTAAAGTAACTAAGATTGGGAATTTAATAAAACATTTAGTTACTTTATAATATTCATCATACTTTGAATGAGAGTTTATAAGTCCTTGTCTTACCCGTTCGGCTAACGACCCTCCACCAGTCAAGCAAGCGGTGGGTGAGAGTAGACACCCATTAAGTCACCATTTTATAGGCAACAATCTTATACCCACCTTATAGACCGGCTTCGTGAATGAGGCGTACTAGCGGTAAGAAGACTTTATTCTTATACATACATATATATATATATATATATATATATATATATATATATATATATATATATATAATTATTAAATCATCATAATATAAGTATAAGGGTTGAATTTTAACTTTTAAAATCCTAGGGGTTGGAACTTAAAGTTTTAACTTAACTTTACTTGTTCCAAAACTTGAGGGCAAGTTTTGTAACTTTCAAAACTTTTCATTTCTTGTAACTTATGAGTTTAATAGAGTAATAAAATGAAGACTCTTCATTTTTCTAACTCTTGTGTTTGTTTTAATGGTTTTAATTCAAGTGTGACTCTTGGTTTTCCATAACTTGAGGACAAGTTATGGACTTCATTAAAACACATTATGATCAAGAATTAATCTACCACATAGGTTACAAATAATTCCTATGATCATCTAATACATCATAAAAACAAGAACATGAATATGAACACATTCATAAATTACACTTAAAACTTTGTAATTTTTGATAACTAGTTGTTGTGAATGAATTAGCAAAGACATTACACCACCAAAAACAAGTTTTCAATTACCAAAACAGTTTAGGGTAATGTTTCTAATTCATTTCCAGCAACTAAATCGAAATTCTGCAATCAGTCGACCCTACTCGCCGAGTGCATGAACTCACTCGCCAAGTTGGTTGAAGATACACATGAACTCGACGAGTCCCCCCTATAGACTCGACGAGTCCACTCGCAGACAACAAGATTTTAGACCTTTTTTTTTCAACTTTTAAGCACAAATAAAAAACAAACAAGCCTAGGCTCTGATACCACTGATGGGTTTTGAGCATTCTAACACTTCCTAAGTGTACATGCAACCCTAATAACCTTGGATCTATGTTTGTCTAATTATCATACAAAGTTGAATTCCAAGGTTATATTCCTATCTAGCATACATGGGGAACAATTTTTAACTTAAAGTATAGATAGAATAACTTACCTTGTTGTTGTTTGTGTTCCTTGAAACCTTGTGAGCCTAGCACCCCAAGTGTGATGCCTCAAATGCATCACACAACACCAAATGCTCTTGGAAGAACTTATGAGAGAACACACACTTCTCAAAAATCGGCCAAGCCCTCTTGTTTCTTAGTGTGTAACCGATTTTGGTGGAGAATATGTTTCTTATATAGTGTTGACACATCTAGGGTTAAACCCTAATGTGTCATGAGTCTTCATTTACATGACCCATGGGTTTGTAACTCCCATGGAGCATCCATGGAGCATCCTATGGGTGGAACCCAACTTGATAATCCATGGAGCCTCTTAGCCCACTATA